AAAAGAAATGGAAAGATAAGTGACCAGACAAGAATTTCATTTGTGTTTCAGAAATCTCAGGGATGTTGGCGTGCATGCTATTGGGCCCTGAACGCTGCTGATTTTACACTGTTTTCAATGGGGCTTGAATTAGTGGACTGCACCCTGCATGCTTGACTGGTTTTTCTTTTATTACATGTAGTAGATTACCATCACGACACTGTGCATTCGTTACCATCACAACACATCACGGTCCAGCACGATTGTGACATCACAGGAAAAAGGTCAACGCAGACTTTGTGATTCCTTTCAATTATAGGAAATCGTGTAAAGGATGATAACGGAGGTTGTACTCTTTTAACAGTCATTTGATATTTTTGTGTAGGCATCCAGAGGAAACTGCACCTTGCTATTTATCCGTATGCATCGCCTTGAAAATTTCTCACTGAATCTTTTTTTATATATATATTTTTAGTTGGACACACTGCGTCCCGTGGTAACTTTTGAGATGTTTCCATTTTCTAGAAAGAAGCTTTAGATGAGGTTGCCGGTAGAGTCCGTGGTGTTGAGCCGTTTCTCATGGGTCGAGACCAGCCCAGCGACAGCATCGCACAGCAAGTCAAGGCGGCTTCCCGCACTGCTAAAGGCGTGAACCTCGTGCTGGATTTCGTCGGAGTAACAAAGACTTTCGAAATAGCTCAAAAGTCTCTTGATTTGGTAATTATTCAACCCCTGTTTTATAACTTGGGGACAATCGACCTTAGCAAATTTTATTGGTCAAGTCTTGGTGTTAGTATCGCTGATTTCTGGGAAAACTGTGACGACGCAGTGGAATAACAGTAAGCTAACCCAACCGGCTTGAAATATACATGTACCGGCGAATTAATAAACTGAAATAAAAGCAGTTCCTTTGTGCTTTATCAACATTTTTCAAGTGCCCTTACAAAATCATGTAAGAAAAGTGTCCTCTATTAGATGTTTAAATACACGCTGAGATTTACACTGTGACCATTACGGACGGGATGGTAAAATAACAAGGAAAAGGATCCACATATACTATTTTATATACTTTATATGGAAATCCCTTTTTTCTCTCGTGCTGTGAAAAATCCTTTACGCTGGATGTCTGACGATTTCCTCGACCGTTTCTCTTTATTTGTGCAGATAACTATGACACGTCTAAGTAACATTTATTCGATGAAAGTGGTACCTTTGGATTACTTTAAGATATCTCCAAATTAATTTCGAGATGCCTGTAAATGGAGTTAAAGATATCTTGCAATCCATTTTAAGATATCTCAGATTAGTAATCACTAAATGCATCGTAAGATATCTCAATTTCATTTCGAGATATTTTGAAACTGATTTACCGATATAGATCTATCACAATCCATTTCGAGGTATCTTAAAATAATCAAAAGGATACCACTTTAATTGAATAAATGTTACTTATGCGCGCCAAAAAACTCAATAGCTGTGTATTACAGACTCATCCATACTAAATAGTAAGATCTAAACGTATCAGTACTTTTATGTATTTACTTCTTGGCTCGCTGTCTTTAAGTTTCTTCTAATAATTGTTTTTATTTATTTGACCAAGCGTATGCACAGACACAACTCAATGAAAAAAAAGAAAAAAGAATACGATTGTATGGTATTGAGAGTGTAAAAGTAGTGATGCTGTTGCAGTCCTCGTCAGTACAGTATGCATATTTTCCACGTTCACGCATAGTACAGTCTTTGGACTCGTCACGTTGGCAAGTGTTCCAACATAGCTGTCTCTCTCTCTCTCTCACGTGCAGAATGGACAGTACCTCGCCACGGGACTCCTTGGTGGCGAAGCACAGTTTCCGCTTGCCAAATTGGTGCTTCGTGGCATCACGATGAAGGGAATCATCATAGGCAGTCTGGTCCAGCTCAAGAGACTGGTTGAACTCGTGCTCAAGATGCCGGTGATTATTTAACGGCACCTCGTTATCTGTTTATGCATTCTGGGGTCCCTTAACAAGAGTTTGAATCATGTTGTAACGAGTCATCACCAGGAAATCAAAAAATGATCACGGGTCGTTCAGCCTAAGAGCTGCTTGACTGAAATTATTTTAAAAGAAATATATGGCCATTTTTAAATTCCCTTACTAGAATATATACTAAAGATCCGACTTGTGAGCTGACTCCCTAGATTTCCCATGGGAGGGACCTGTCATCCAGAACAGCTGTATCCCCCAGAGACTCCCAATTGTCACCCTTTGTTTCTTTCAGTGGGGGAAATGTTAAAGGGGGCTGCTACTTATTACCCCATGACGACAGTATTTGATTGCATCCTGCTGCAGAGCAGTGAAATTAATGTACTTTTTCCTTTCCTTCATCAGTTCATATATGACAACCTGACGTACAGCGTTCATTCGCTGGACGATGGCATCCAAATCATGGAGAAACTGGCCAAGGGACAGGTGGTTGGACGGGCCATATTGAAGTGTAACGATGATGATGAGTAGGCTTCTGGCAAATCCAAAATTCAACTGAGGAAAATGTGTAAATGAATTGGTAATGACAGCATTCTTTTTCGAGCGAGATCGAACATCCAAATCCCCGTTTCTATTTAACAAAAATTCTATTTCATTGAGGGTGCATTCAGTCGTTATTGCACTGGTTTAAAATGTTGACACTGATTTTTGCGTGAAATCGAATGTACCTCTGCAATCCCGCATTCATCTGAATTTGAACTCAATCTTTCACAGAATGTGCAGGTGATTTCCCGCGGAGTGTTATTTAACGTATACCTGGTCAAGAATTAGAATTTGTATGTGTGCTAACAGAGGATATATTCTTAGAAGTGTTTATTAATGGTTAAATGTTTCAATATTCATGACTGAAATAGACGGTTCGTGTGTCTTTAAAAACATACCAGCTATTGTATTGATCCTATACAAAAACCGACACTTAGGTAACCTTTCCTTCTCGTGCTACGTTTTTGCCACGATCAAAGTTCCAACATGGCCTTCTTGCAGTGGCTGAAGGGGAAGATCAAAAAAAATTGCAGACTTTATTTGGTATACAGTTTGATAACAAACACACTATAATCCTTCATGAGTAACATTACATTCATTATCAAAATGGTGTCATGATTTCTGTAGCCCTGTATATTTCTAATCAAATTGAATGCAAATTTTGTGAATTTGAATTACAGCAAATGAAAATGAATACTCAATACCGACGGTTTATGGTAAAAGACAGATTTTCAGTGAATAAGATTGCACATTAGTTACAATTGGCAACGAATACGGCAAATCAGAACCCTAATCAGTTATCTGTGTCCTCCTAAATGAAACGTAATGCACATTCATCTATTTGAAGGATGCAAAACGAAGTCGAATTCTCGTCAAACCATGTAACAGTACTTAGTTCAAGAAAATGAAATAAGAAAATAATTCATACTTCCGTTGCATTAAGTCTGCTTGCTGTTTCTAGGTTAATGTGATTCCATTCATATGGATAATAAGACTATCTTTACTCTTGATTACGCAAATTTACATACGACATGCATTTGCAAGCAATAGTTGTCGTTAAAATGTATATAATGAACACCTCATAGTGAGATGTGTTTTCATTCGAAGTAAAGTTTGAAAGAGCCATTTGGAAAAATCTTTTATAAAATAACTCTGCATTACAATTTCCACTAGCAATTTTTAATTTCACTAAACTTCAACTAACGCACTTTGGAGAAATGGTTGAATCTGAAATTTACCTACCTTTGGTTTCTCTTCTTGAAAGTATATAATTTTTCATTGAATTCTTATGGGCATGTTGCAGACGGGGTCGGCGGCATAGAAAAGTTTCCCTAGAGCTAAAATTATAGTCAGAAATGACAATCAAATTGGTGCACTAATAGAAGTTCACGCTGAAAACACTGGGCAAGTTTGGGCGCGAACTATAGTTCGACCGGTGGTCAGTTAGGGCCTACTTTTAAAAATGCGCATGCGCAATTACACTCGACCCTAGTCGGTCACCTCTTTAAAATCTCGTCCTTACATTTCATCGTTGGTTGCGATTCTCGCAGGGTACATTGTCATTGTAATCTCGTACAGTTATTTTCATATGAATGGTTCCCTCTGTTATGATAAATGAAATGGGTTATTGATAACCAGCGGTGCGACCGTACCCTAGAGCTTGGTCCCAAACGGTCGACTAGATAGTCTAAACAGTTCATTGTTCATGTGGTGTTAGTCGAAACTATAGTCGTTGCTCGAATTGTTTCCTGATAGTCTTGTGTACAGTAACTAAGCTTTAGAAATAAGAACAGTAGTTTAATACTTTAAAACGACATTCACCTTGCTTCGACGAAGGATTAAAATTGTTATATGTTTTCTTCGTGTTGAAAGTAAGTTTTTGTCACTTTTATATTGTCATCAAAGCAAACACGAAAGTTGGTTTTGTTTGTTGCGTACAAACGGCAGTGACGTCATAAGATCTGAATGGACAGATCTTCCATGGGAACTGCATGTACATAGTCGGTAATGAAAGTGAATTTGCCTGCCTAAAAAGATTGTGCACGAGAGAAGAGCCAGAAAAAGCAGGGATTTGTGTGGTCAAAATGTCCGTTTAATTTTTATCTAAGAAGTTTGGAAGTCCAGGAATCGAGAACTCATATGCTTACGAGCAAGTAACACTTTGGAAACTCGAACGGGTACCTGTCTTTATTCAACAGTTTCCAAAGGTATTCGCCTCGGCAACACACACACACACAGGTGTGTATTTGCCTCCAACTGGGGACTCCCTATTGTTCCTCTTTTGTTTGTACTTTACTTTTTTAGAAGACCACCCATATGTTGTGTACACAGTTGTCAATCGGGGACCTTATTGTCCTCTGTTGTTCAGGGTCCCCATGCAGAAACAAACTCACATACACAAACACCAATAAACTTAAAAATCCCGCCCCCCCAAACAAACACGCATTGCATCTTTGTAAATACCCGAAATGAATTGTTCGTAACTCTTGTCTTTATTTTCAACATTTCCAGAACACTTTTCATGCGCAATTGCAAGGACGTTCAGTCAATCATTATGGACCCTGCTTTTCTCTTGTTTGACGTCCACGACTTTCAATGTGTAGGCCCCTACAATACGTAAATGAGGCATTTCCAATGATTTTTGATTTGAGGACTGCAGCACCTCCTAATGTACACTGACTTCTGGGTCTCTGCAAGGGAAAATCATACATCATAAGGGTAAATTCCCCCTCCGACCCCCGGACAAATCTTGGGGGCTACTGGACAATAGTGTAAAGGAATATCGCGCGTGTGTATGTAGACCGGTGCGCGGCAACAGCGCCGCTGTGCGGCGGCTTGGGCATTTCTGCCATCGCCTCTCGCTGATAAGTTGGGCTGTTTGCTTCGCACGATCCTTCAGGTAAATTTCTTTTTTCCTTGACATGTAAATTTCATCCAAAGTATAGAATGGGTCTTTCAGGAGAAATTGCTGGACTTCTTGGACAGGGTATGAATACCCCTTTTGTCGTTTTCTTTAAGAAGAGGGAAAAATCATCCTTTCCTTAGAAAAGCTTCAAAAATTATTATGTGACTCATGCACATGCACGAAACGTAACGAGTGTTCTATGTTGCATTCAACGACTATTGCATGTCTTCGAATTGTTTTATTGTGTGGTCTTTTCACAGCTGAACTCTGTAGAGAGAGCGGGTTGCACAGTGTCCTTATGATTGCAAATTGTGTCCTTTTGACTTTTATCTTTCAGTCTTACCCTTTTCTCCATCTTGTCATATCTCGTCACTGAACTATTTACTCTTGCAATTATCAGAGCATAATCTTCTTTTTCCACCGTTGGTCAATCAATCCATATTAATTATTTTATCATTGTCAAACTCCATTTATTAGTGTCCACAATTGTGTGAATTTTCTCCACCTTAATAATATTGGGGCAGTCCTAAATTTCTCAACTTGGTTTCAAATAAAAAATAAATCAGTTGTAATATACAGTGAGAATAATAACCCCTTGTGCCAATTTTTTATTTTTATTTGGAGTACCTTGGTCACCGGAGAGATCAATCCCTTACTTAAAAATTAGGTGTACCCCACCACCATAAGGTATCACCATCCCACGTATGAACGTGACAGTAATGTTTACAGGCCATGAAATTGTCGAAGCTGTCACAACATTGGACACATAGATTGGCCACACAGATTTAAATATCGTGTTCCGTTTTTTATTCAAACGGTTGGTTACATTTTCATTGCCTTTTTAAACAATTGTCAGCTTTCCTACAATCGGGTGTGCATTCGGATGTAGACTTCTGGGATGTAAGTGAAAATAGGGGCGGTGGCGACACTCATCCACCGCACAAGTACCCTTGCATCCCAGGTAAAATATAAAACTAATTAAGAAATGCAATTCAGTGTTATCAGAAATTAATAGAAGGCATTTCTTCTAAACACATCGCAATCCCGGAGCGCAATGTGTCATATTCAGTTTTAAATCTGGGTACACAGAATTATCCCACAGCTAATTTTGAAACCCATGCACTTTTCAACTCTCGGCTTCATCATGCCTGCAGATCCATCAAAAGCCTCAGAATCAACTTAAAAAATCAGGGGGCGTGACTACAAAATGTACTTCCACAGAAGCATAATGAAATGTTGTTAGAGAGGAGACCTTAGGGATGTATTGGCTACCATAAAACAGTCGTACAGGTTCAGGCACGACCGGGGACTCCGGGAACTGATGTGGTGATGATATTGTGGTAATGTGAAGGGGGGGTGCGGCTCCACTTCAAGGACATGAAATAGCTTGCGTTCTTTTCTCTCGGGGGGATAGCGCCACCAAGAACGAGGAAAGTGGTTTAAAGCTGGGAGATCCGTTGCCATATATGTCGCTCCGATGAAAAGCGGGATATGGCGACTTCTGCAGAGATAGTACCCTGTTTCGATTTCCAAACGTTGCGCTAACTCGTGATATCGGGTATACAATAACAAGTCAAATTCGAAACCCCCCCCATAAAAATACATTTAGTCATGTGAGAGGCATTTATGTTTTAGTTTTAGGACGATTCTTCTGTGGTTTTTATGCGTCGAATACATTTCACAAACTTAATGTACAATGGTGCATGTCCTTCATCAGGCCTAGTAAAGAGTACAACATGCCTCTATTACAAACCACAATAGCGAGCGAGCCTTCGGGCCCCTGACGCGATCAACCAATGGGGATTTTATGGGGTCGTCCTTTCACGTTCGATAATATTTGGAAGAATGATTCCTAACTGATACTTCCTCAAGAAACACTGATGTCGTTTGTTCCTACAGTTCCTTGTATCATGCACATAAGTTTTTCACTTAGTGAGCTTACGTGAAAACGAGATTGTACATAGTTTCTAAGATTTACCTAACTGCTGTCGATTGGTTCTAGACTCAGTCGAATTGACCTGGCGCTGTTCTTGTCAGCAACGGTTAGAGTGAACTTCAAAATCTGTCGTAAACGCAGATTATACCATTAATGAAGTTTAATTCCTTTTAAAATATAAAATACTTAAAATCTGTTGATCTCTATCTTTTTATTTAGCTTTTACCAAAAGACTACCATACAACATAATTTCGTTACTGTTCATCCGCGTACGAGACCACCGAATTGCAGTGTTCTTCGTGTACTTTAGATTTTTGGAAGAGAGAGGTCAGGTTTTTGGCAGGATATTTCTTTTTCAGGTCAGGAGACTTTTAAGTTTCTATAAATTAATATGCAAGCAAATATTTTACAAAGCCTTTTTCTGAGGTGAATTTTTTTTAAATAAACAAATGCAAAATATTACTAATTCTTAAAATCGTTGCACGTTATTTTTCCGATACAATGGTTCAAGAAGCACGCCGCCAGGGGGTCAGCTTTCCACTTCCATACTTCCATTCGCTCGTCGCCCAGCGCCCAAAGAGCTATTGGCTTTGCATTATAATTGGCTACCTTTTGCACTACCTGTGGCCTCGAGGCTATCACTTACTGATAGCAAAGCATTATTTATTTTTTTTGGTTCGCCAATTGAAAAGCTTTGGCGCAGGCAGAGTGTCGGCTGTGTGATAAAAACATGGCCTTGGTGCAATCACAGTGTTTAATTTACCTTCTCGCTGAGTATCACGTGTCTTTCGGCGATATATTTCAAATTATTCGTTATCTTAATCAATTTTGGATGAACGAAAGAGTGTAGTGAGAATATTTTGAGTAATTGGGAAGAAAGAGAAAAAATATCGAATTGATAACCGCCGCTTGTATATAAACGCAATGAGCGAGCTCACGCGCCTGGCAGAAATTTACCCACAATGCTACGCGCGTCGTTTCGGTTATGATCCTGTGTGACGTATTTCCGTCACTAAAATCGGTGCAGGGCCATGAACCCTTCCCAGCACCTCGGTCGTGCCCTGACTGACGAGTGGATATAGTTCCAAAGGTACAAAACGAAGCCAACCTTTGCCCTAAGTTGGGTTTGTTTAGCAGGTGAATCCGATAACGTTTTGCTACATTATTTCTTTTTGGCCCTTTAAGTTTGTTGGGCTTTGTACAGAACTGTCACGCAACATAGGCTCCACATAATAGTTTTCACAAACGCTCTTAGCAAAGTAAACGACCCGTGATAGCGCTACCAAGGTTACCAGTGTTTAGTCAGGATTCAGCAGCAGTATTAATTCAAAACGCGTCTTCCAAAGGTTACTGAATAATGAGCCTGTTTGTTCGCGCAGATCCAGATTGCGATTAGTGATCCGACGTTCAAATTACCGTACCTGACCAAAGAAATCGCCTGAAGGGTAGCATGAACCAGCTTTGGGAGAACTGATCGAGATCCAGATGCATGTGAAACCACAGACGTAAATCCCGGGGGGATGGGGGTATATATCCCCTCATCTTTTGAGTTGGGGTGAGGGTTGTTGAATCATCCCCACCCCCGAACCCGCATCCCCAAACCCCGAATTTTGTTGCGGTGAGCACTGAGCAAGAAATTAAAGTAGATTGAGAAAAATTTTTCAGACTTTCATTCAAAATCACTCAAACAAGGTAACAATTTTAAAAAGCCATAAATATGCCGTTATCAGTCAATTATTAGTTATTGTTGAGTTTCCAAATATGTGTGAATGGCTGGTTCATGGATTTTAATCCTTGGTTTCTTAAGTAGTATAATTTAATTTCTAGATATTTGGTAGTTTTTAATATTTGATGGGCTTAACCGATTTTATTGTAATTGCTTGGCACCTCTGGAAATCAGTGTTTCACTGAGAGGTTTCCCCAGGATATAAATAAGTGAATAATAAAAAATAAAATGTAAAACAGTATGATGAACATCGACCTCTATAGACCATAAGGTGTCAACCCCTCCACCCCCACCCGCTTTCCAAATTTTCATGGCTGGGCAAGTCATCCATCCAGCTCAAAATGCCGGTGATTATTGAGTTACACTCCTCATTATCTGTAAGCGCAACCTGGGACTCAGGATCCCTTACCAAGAGTTTGTATCATGTTGCACACAAGTCATTACCAGTAAAGCAATAGCTGATCATAAGTCGTTCAGCGTGAGCTGTTCGAGTGAAATTATGAAAAAGGAAATTTTAAAATACCCTCACTTTATTGCTTCATGTCCTGACTTCTGAGCGAACTATGGAGATTTCACATGTAATTGACTTCTCATCCATAAAAACAGGTCTACCCCCAGAGACTGCCAACAGCCAAACTTTGTTCTTCCGTGGAGGGAATATTAAAAGGGAGGGTGCTACTTATTACCACATTATCGCGCTGTTTGATTGCATCCTGCTGCAGGGTTGAGAAATTAAATTACGTTTTCCTTTCCCTCACCAGTCCATGACAACCTGACGTGCAGCGTCCAAATCATGGAGAAACTGGCCAAGGGACAGGTGGTTGGACGGGCCATATTGAAGTGTAACGATGATGACGAGTAGTCACTGGCAAATCCAAAATGTAACTGAGGCGAAAGATTGGCACGGGTTGGCTCCAAGAACACTAACGAAGTAGTTTGTACTACTTATGATGGAAAGGGGCCATAGAAACGACGATCTCGTGCGCACAGGAAAAAATACGATTTTAAAAATCTTTTTACAGAGCACTAAAAAATCCACTAATCTTGAAAACGATGTAATTGGGATTTTCTCTAGAAAAAAAATGAACAAAGTCAGAAAACCAGAGAGAAAAATGATCATCGAAGTCGCACCCTCGTACATTTCCAATGACCCGCTCACACTTGTTGCCGCCAAGGCCATTTGTGCGCATGCGTGCATAATTATGAATTTAATAGTGAAGAGGTCTATTGTGCAAAACCCCATTTGCCGTCCTCATATTACTGTTGGTTGCATCACATGCGTGTGTTCATGGTGTCCACCATCTCGTACATTTTCTGCACGGCAGTGGCCCCCTCTGTGATTAATTACCAAAACGGCTGGGCTGCTGATAATCAAAATTCGCCCTGGGTTCATGAGCCCTATGCTGAATAAAGTTAAGCAGCGATCCGCTTGTAAATGGGAATGACTGAAGCCAGAGGTTCTCATGTTTCATCTAATTATATGCAAATTGAAATTACGTATGCAGATGCCAAGTAGTACTTGCAGTTGTCGCATTAATAAACGAATAAATTTGTCCTTGGCGGGTCTTAAACGTTCATTATGTTTCAGATGTATGGGGGCTATGATAATTTGATATTCATAAACACCTGGGACGGTTCACTTTTCCAATTGGTCGAAACGCGTCACTTGACGGTGTATTAACGTTTGATGATGCCCACTGCGGATAAAACTGGACCCAGAATCTGCGTACCACTCGGAGAATGTTCACTTTCGCGTCATGTTTTTGCAGTAAGCATAAACATTTCTATATTAAAGAAATGTTTCCCCCAAAGTGGGTGGTTCTAAAATTGAGGAACATTTCGGGCGAAATTTTAACATTTTTTTAAGACCAACAATAAACTAATTAATATTTTCAAGACTGTCCTATATGGGTTAATATATTTATTCTTCCTGAACGAGAAAGGTTAGAAATCGTGTGCTTTTTGACATAATATTCATGTTTCTATCTGGCCATCGAAACAAATCCTCATTCAACACTACTGTAGTTTATACTGATATGATGTGCCTGACATTATAGCAGACAAGGGGCATGTGGAACTATCTCTCATCATGCAGTCATCGAGGTAGTCGCGGTGTTCCATGGTGTTCTCCAACGACGGGTCTGGTCACGCCTGAACAGTACAAAGCGTACAGCGCAACTGCACTGGCACCGCAGCTGCACAAGTCATGCCTGAACTTGTCACACGCTCCAGCACACACACTACACTTTGCATATGTACAGTACATGTACATGTATACTTGTGGGGTATTTCCTTTGTTCTCGTACCTTCCATTGTACCGGTACCCCACAAGGCACCATGTACAAAGCGCACACGTCCCTAGCTGGCCCTTCGCGCGGTATGGTCCGCGTGCACCCCCCCCCCCACACGCACACACGCAGCCATTACTATTCCGGAAGGCGTACTTACGGAGAAAGCGTTAATCAATTGTCTGCACATGCGAAATGAAAAGGAAATCTTTATCTATTACGTTTTATTTTCGGGTATTCATTCATGAAATATTGCATTTAGCGTAACGCGCGTCTGAAAGCTGCACAGCCACTTTTTTGGAGGGGAAAATCCAGGCTGTTTGCCATGACCAGTGCGTTTGACCCTGGGTGAGAAAAAACATGAAATAGTCTTGGTAAGAAATAATTTCCAAGCAGTTTGACCGTGGTTTGACCCAATATATTGCGAGTAATGGTTAAATAGCATGGCAGGGTATTAAAGTTTTACCTTTGCAATGATGCGAATGAATATGGATGAGGTCAGGATAAAATTGTCAGCAATTTTTGACCTATTGTAAAGGGAAAATTGTATAATGTTGACCCTGTGGAAAATATCAAAAGGTCAAAGTGTTCCAGAAGGACCCTCAACATTGCTAGGTGCCTGTGCTTTCCAGAGGGCATAAGTAGCGTAACTGTTAGGTGGCATAGGGCACTCCCTTCGAAATTTTGATCTCTAGTGCATCACCCGTTTCGGTGCCCAGCTGAAAAAAAGCACGGGTTCCGCTATATATGCCACTGCCGCAGGGTGGAAGGCCTTCACAACGAAAGACAAATCGGTCGGTTTTCTCCTCCATATTGGTCGAAAGGGTATACTGATACAGAGGTCATGATGAAGTGCATCCGTGTAACCGCTCCTAAAGAGCCCCTTGTCTTGTGTGACGATGAGCCGATCCCCAAAGCCCCAGACGGTGGGGCTGTCGTGAAGGTAAAGTGAATTGCTATATTGCACGACAACCATCTTTACGAAGGTGACGAACAACGCCGTATGTGTGGTGTCCTTTTCCTAGTCGAGTCATGCACCGTCGAGGGTGACATCGGCGTGGCAACCTACAGTGACCCGGGTCACAATGATGGTAGCCATCATTAAACAGGCAGTAAAAATATAATCAGCCGATGTTAAAAATATCATAATACACCGTACGTGTTTATTCATTGTTATTCTCAAAAATGATTGAGCTGCTTTTACTTCAACAGGCGATCGATATGGCATGCGTGACTAAAAAATACAAACCGCCATTGATCCGACTATGTTTCACGAGTGTATAGACTTCAATTATCGTGATGTAAGTTCTTTTGCTTGATACAAATATTTGTAATGCGTCTTGTGTGGAAGCGGGGTACTCAGGGCTAAAGTTCCGGTCAGGGGCACAGTTCTCGAAGTCGGGATGCCACTTGGTGCCTACTGGTTCGCCTCTGGAGGCTGGGACAGGGAGTGGCACACAGCGCAGGCGCTTGTGAGGTCTTGGGCAAATATCAGACACACAGACAACGTTGTTCCTCACTTCTTATTATTATAATTATTATTTCTTATTTATACTAAGTGATTCATTCAGTTCGTAAAAAACAAACTGTTATCATCATGAGTCCCAGTGAACAATCTTACGACAAGAGAAAAAGGGAATTAAAACTGAACGTTTGTGTCAAGAAAACTGATTGGATAAATTGTGATTATCTCGAGCTGAGGAGAATAGCGATGAAGGCTAAGCATATGGCCAATAAAACCGGTAATAAGGCCCACTTTAGGCATGCTAATGTTCCTCACTTCAATTGGATATTCACCCTGCGAACCACCGGTATACAGTCTTGGCCTGGGGGCCAGCTGCTTGAAAAGATTTGGCAGACACTCGACAGATCTCAAAAGTCCATATTAATCTACATGCATAAGGTAATTCCAAAAGTGATCAACATATACCAAGGAGACATCCACACATCACAACCAATCATTTTACAATAATATGATGGCATGGAGACCGCGTGGAACATCTGAGGATGGAACCACACACAGACGGGCTATAGTCCAGCACATGCACTTGATCAGCTAGAAATCGCACGCTTCATCACATATTACTATCACTCGTATCACCCTAAAAATCGCATGGCGCGATCCCCAACCTTCACAAACTGTAAATTGAAGTCAAACGTTTTGGTCTAACCGGGTAGGGTATGAAGTACATTGTATGCAAAACGATTGTAATTCTTCTGTCACAGTGCCACATGTACCAACATAGGGCCTACGCGTATGCGTGTGCATCGCACTTGCTCACACTGAGTTTGCCATTGAAAACCGTCGTGCATGAACTCACTTCAAATTGTAAGGGTGCACTCCTGGAAATAAATTCTCATGGACACTTCCTGACCTTTCAAATTATTGAAAAATACTCATAACTCCACAGGTGTCTAGGCTGGACAGAAAAATGATATTTGACATACCCTCTTTCATTTTTCTTTCAATTTAACTAGGTTGATCCATGAAGTTTTGAGAAATTCTCACCCAAAGCAGACAACCCCTTAAATGAAAGAAAATTCCACTGCCCGGAAAAAGAGCCATTTTTGAAAATGTATTCCTATGCCAAATGGCTAAATAGTGCCAATTTCGAACCCGATTGCATCCAAATTGCTCAGAATTGGAAGCCCGGTACCAGGGGTTCAGTGCCATATTTTTTCAATCGCCCAGTTCCATGGCTTTCAGGGCTCTAATAATTATAATTATGTTTAGTGTATAACTTCTATTAATGAGCTCGGCAGACATATTTCTGGCCCATTTGCGGAGGCACACCGTTATGATTGACAATGATAATATGGGCGATGCACAATAGTGCGCGTCCAGGAGTTTGCAACGCGTTGGCCAATCACAACGCGCAAAATCTGTCGACCCTTTCCAAACGCATATTGGGTCGACAGATTTTGCGCATTATAATTGGCCAACGCGTTGCAAACTCTTGGAGACAAACTTTTGTAAAACGCCCGTATTGTGGCTATTCTAGCACGATCCATCCAAAATTTATAAAACTGTCCATTATCGTAGAATAAACTACTTCATTCGTGACATCGATAGAACTGTAGGCCTATAGGCCTTACACAAGATCGTAACATGTTGGTGCACCCGCCGTGATGAACTTGCTTCACATCGGAATATGTAGTGTCTTTATATTTCGCAGTCTTACCGTATAATAGCCATCTGGAGGTGGGGACTTCAATTTGAACCCTGGGAAGTTGAATCCAGGCCTTGTTTCCAGACTTAACACGATTAAAAAACAAATTAGTGGCATCGGAAGAAATGACCCCGATTGCTATTTGTAAGAATATTTCATGGATGAAACAAAAAATATCTGGGCAAAACTAGATGTGAAGTGGAAGCCAAATCAAACCAAATGGCTGCAACAGTTTAGAATAAACCGAATTACAACGATTTTGTCAAAGTAGTCACGAATAACTTCAGTATCATCCAGAATGACCCATAGTTATACCGAATTTAAAATCTGGGAACTATTAAGTTACTCTCATAATAGTCGTAGTGGGTAGTCTTATCTATACACTGGCAATGATTTGGCGTTCTCGACCGTTTAACACCAAGAATAACTCTGCGAAATTTGTAAGAATGTTGCAAGAATATCAACCTAGTTGCGTATACAAGAATAGCCTTTCAGTTTCAATTTGTTCCCAAACAAACCCGACCATTTTCAGGGTACTTCGCGACTTTTAGTGATTTCACCAAACTACCAGGTGCAACTAAGAACGATTTCCTCAAGAAATTGCTACCAGTTTAAAAATCGGAAACCGTGAGAACCCGCTTCGTATTGGCAACCCTGTCCAAGGCGCTCCAGTGCTGACGCTGCTGTTTTCCTGTGGTGTATGCGGCCATTGGTGATTTAGTTTGTGCGTTAAGGCCATTACCTTTGACAGCTTGTACCAAACGTGGGCAATGCAAGCTACGTGTATAGTTCATGTACATGTATAGTACTGTACATGTACATGTACCTACACTAGGGGTCATGCACGATACAGGCTCGAAGGGTCAGGATTACCAGACGTGGCTATGGTGTTCCATATGTGCCATCCGGCGTCGCATTTTTCGACGGGCGTCGCATTTTTCAGCCGGCGTTGCATTTTGCAACCGGCGTCGCATTTTTCAACGGGCGTCGCATTTTTCGACCGTGCGTCGCATTTTTCGACTGGCGTCGCATTTTTTAACTGGCGTCGCATTTTTTGACCGTGCGTCGTATTTTTTCGACGGGCGTCGCATTTTTCGACCGGGCGTCGCATTTTCCATTACTTCATCGGAAAGACCCGTGGAGGCCAGGATCTCGTCCATCATCGGACCCGCAAGCTTATTATAAAACACTCGAAAACTAGTCTTATTAAGAATGAAGTTGTCTGTTGTGGAGATTTTCACACGTACGGCAACATTTGTCACAGAAAAAAAGAAAATTAGACAGAAACGCATGTATATGTACGTGTAACCCTAGGGTCAATCAAGAAGCAGCAGCTACGACGAAACAGCCTTTTCAAACAGTGACACTTTTCAAACCCAAATCCACATGCAGTCCTCAAGACCTTGGGAAGTCATTTCGTTGAGTAATAAACACAACCCCCCCCAACAAAGAAAGATAAATGATCTCAAGCCCATGACCAGACGGCCTCCACCGGGGGAATGCCTGAATCACGGACCATTGCCTGAACAACTTCAAATGCGTGAAATACCTTTCTACTCGTAGTAATGAAAAAATAAGACCAGTCTTGGCTTCTTCTGGACAGATTTTCAAGGTTCAAAAAGTATTTTCGGAAAACTGTGCGTGATTTTGTATTGCTGACAACTTCTTTCAACCCAGAAAACGTAAAATTTGTCAAAGTTATGGTGCGTGACATTTCTTTGCCTAGAGTAGTTGCATTTTAAATTATAGACCGTACTGCGATAAACGCTGCCTCGGGAAGCATGTCTGCCAGATGACAAATACCATATCAACCAGAGTGAAAAATAGGCCTATTATACTGGGTTTGATTTTTGTGGCAACTAGTAATCATCAGTACCGGGACATTTTTCACTCAAAAAGCTTGCAGAGGTGAGAAACCAAATTGAGCGAGGTGAACTTCCACGAGTAATCGGGTTCATTAAAGGGCTGTTAATTTATTGACATACAGGTAATCGACGCATACATGCTAATTTAGCCGTTTCCATAATCATTAAAAATATGTACGCACTCTTTAAGCATTCAAGTCAACAACTTCAGATCCGGCTGGACCAAGGTTGGCCATTGATGATTAATGGCTTATTCACATCGAAAGGCGACGGCGGTTGAAAAATGCGACGCCAGTTGAAAAATGCGACGCCGGTTGAAAAATGTGACGCCAGATGGCACATATGGAACACCATACGCGAAGTCGTGTATTGTGCAGGACAGTCGCACTGAGCGTGCATCTACCATGTCAAGTCTCATTGATAACAGTGTAAAATCCGCATTGTTCAGGTACGGAGCGGTATCAGGGGAATGGTGAAAAAAACCCAAATTCTCTCCTCCTAGAGCTAATTCGCATGTACGGCTTGTATGTCGTACGCACGATTTATATCTTGTACGTACGACTTAAATCTCGTACGTACGATTTATGATTCATATCTCGTACGTGTGAATTCCTACTTACGACATACAAGTCATACGTACGAGATATAACCCGTACTTACGGGTTATGATTCAGAAGTCGTACCTACAAGATTAAGTCGTACATATGACAGATTTATCAGTCGTACGTACAAGTTAGCTCAAGGAGGAGAGAACGCTGTTTTTTAATCATGTCCCTAATACAGCTACGTATTTAGAGCTTAATAACATGCATGCCAACATCCCTGGTGTTTTTCAATCTTTCCATTTCTTTTCAATTTTCTGTGTCGTCGCGTCGTTGTAGACATGCATGTCGGCAAAACTTTTCTATTCAATAAAATTAATTTCTAAAAGCTGCCAAACATGTTTGATTGCCTGTAATGCCGCTGCTGCGTAACTGACACGAGTATTACCGTGAAACGAAGAGTACTGAACTATTTCATTGATTTTGTTTCTTCTCATTTGGAGATATAAAACTTCAAAGATTAAACACGAATGCTATTTCCACGGTCAAATCCTATGCTTGTCACCGATGTGCTAAAAGCTTTGGACGGAAATCTAATCTACAGAGGCGCATGGAAAATATCCACGCTGAAGAGGAATAAGACATCAATGAAGTTGACGATGATTCAGAATCTGTTGAGGAGGTAGAAGATGACGAAACATCGAATGAAGATAATTCAGAATAGACAATGCCGCCTGCCGAGATTGGCTGGCTGAAGCCAGGGAAACAAAATGGAGATGAGTGGGGTGAAAATATGGCAAGTACACCAACGAAAGCATGAAGATCAAGAAAGGCAAACAGGAAGACCCACTAGGCAGTCAAGCAAGACTTTTTCGACAACTGTAAGGAGTTTCCATCAAGTTGCCTACATTTGAAGGATAATGAAATCACCAAGACGTTGTGGATGATCTCGAAGGAAACCTTGATAACGGCATGAAAGTAAACAAAGCCTTGAATCGGGTTATCCCTTAACATTCTGTTAAATTTGACGGACTGTTCCAGCTATGAAGAAGAGGAAAATACCTAAAAGGTAGTAATAATTAGAGACAAATGGTTTGGTTCCTGGTTTCGACTGGCCGACTAAATGCCCTGCGCCATTTGGGTGATGTTGGTCAAGTCTTTAGTTTACTATCCGCGTCGAGCAGACGCACCTCCCATCGGTTAAAAAGGGCCAAAGTTTGTCCGGAATGCTCATTTTGTTGGTAGCGATGCACCCGTAACGGGTGTATTTTACAGTCGTGTGTGAACCAGCAAAGCGCAGTTCATACAAAAGGAGCCTGCGTTGCCAGGAAACGTACGCCTCTCTTGGTCTAGCTCAGGGCTCATTTAGCTCGTCGCCGAGCGCCTGAACAGGGTGTTGGGGAGGGCTGATGGCCTTGCACAGATTTTAGTGAAGGAAATATGTCACACGGGGTCACAGCTCACGATGTTCAAAGCATTGTGGGTGATTTTTGCCAGGCACGCAAGATTGCTCAATGTGGCCCTTATTAATTCGCTATTTTTTTTTCTTCCTCATTGCGGAAAATATTCTGACCACACTTAATTTGTTCACCCAAAATAGATCAAGATAAACAATTACTTAAAGGTATCGCCAAAGACACGGGATCAGTGAAACTTGTAAGACGATAAATTACTGTGATTTTTCCGGGGCCATGTTTTTATGATAATAAGCCGACATTTTGGCTCGTATTAAAGAATAGCTATTGGCCAACCCAAGACTTAAAATAACGCTTCGCTAACAGGAAGTGCGGTCGGAGGTCATGCATGTACTCTTTTAACGCAACCTTGTCAAAATGTTGAGTGGTTTTCCTAGTTGTTCAAAATTGACTACAGATTCAGTCAAACACCCACGCAAACGTTGGCAAATCATGCTTTCTGACAAGATTCCTATACTGTGCCTTTAAAAATGTCGATGAACTGACTAAAAAAATCTTGTCAGATTGACTAATTTCCAGTTGCACCCAGCTGAACCTGAAGAGCTAGTCAAATTTTGCTGAAGTTTAGTCAAATTTGACTGATCCTTTTTAGAGTGTGGTAGCCAATTACAGTGCAAAGCCCGAGCAGGGCGCTGGGAAGGGCTGATGTGACGAGCGAAGGGGCTCATAGTCGTCTCCCCATGATTGGTTTTTCTCACATTGTTCGATGGAAAATTGGTTGGCTTTTGTATTTGTTTCTGGTGTAGTAGCCGTACAAATGGGGCCAGTAATACCCTAGCAATATTTGGTGTGTTTTGTTTGCAACTACAACTTATCGCCGTGACCAGAAACAGAGAGCGAAAAATCTAGATCTGATTTTGCCATCGTGAATCAACTTTTTTATTGATACACTGTTCCATTATCCATGCAATGTTTGTAATTTTATTTTGTCTCTCCAAAACATCATGATGCAGTTTTCAAAGTCTTTGTACGAAGTTGGCTAAGACTGCCCAACAACATGCTGACCACCACTGGACAGTAAAGTTCATATTTACAAACAAAATGCGCTCTTTCATCACAAGGAGTGATTATGAGATCTCATAAAATACCTCTTTGTATAAATGCCGCAATAAAAACGATCCAAATAAAACACTTTTTCTTGTAAACAACTTGGCTATTTATTCCCAAAATGACCCCAGAGGAAAGCGTTCGATAAGGACAATGATTGCACATGAACACTTGGGGCACACAGCCTAAAACATGCTACTGCACAACGCATTAAATTTGATGTTGTTGTCAGATCATACCAAGCACCAATGATACCATGAATATTCAACTTCCCAAAAATTGTGGTGATGATCATGGGGGTACAAAGGGGGCTTATGGGTGTGAAACAGGTGGTGCGTGGCAAGCGTTCCCTGCGTTCTGGCTATGGACATACCGGGCATGCCAGAAAGCGGTAATTGGCAGTATGCTATAGTATAACCATGGAGGTAGACCTCCATGGTATAACCTGGGCAGTTCAAACTCCTTCTGTGTCTTTCCTCCATGAAGTGACTAATCCCATCAATATAGTGACATTCAGTGTTTAGTTAATAAACTTTCTAGGGTGGGTGGGGCGTAATTTCAATTGAAGGCCTAAGGTGGTACATAAACAAGTTTAAAATGATGCCATGAAATAAACATGAACGTAAAATTGGTGAGTGCATTTGTGTCGCAAAATTAAGCCCTCAATGTCATTTTGATCATTCTTTACAACAGATATAAACAATATGCTCTTTATTCTTTTAAAGAATTTTGTTACAATTTGATTGTTTCGGTTAAATTAATTAGATATCCTACAGTGGAGTTTGCCATTCGGATGTACATTTCTGGAAAGGAGATAAGAGTTTCGCCAGGGCCGAGGGCGAACCAACAATCTTCAAATGCCCCTGCGTCCCAGGTGAATATGAGTGAGCTTAATCATTACACGTAATCCTATATTAGCAGCCATCTACTGGACATTGCAAACAGTATCCATAAACTCAGCGAGCCCATTCTAAATAGTATACTACTACTGATAGTAGTAGTAGGCGGCATCACCGGGCAGTCTCCAATGATTCATGGTCTTACAGCGCGTTCCCACTTGAATTGGGAAAAGGTGGATTTTGATCGAGCATTTTGGTGTGATCGTTATCTTACCGCAACAAAACCGCAGCAAGTCGCGCCGCGTTCCCACCAGCGCTTGATCCACCTTTTCGGACGGAAATGTCGAGTCCAAAAGGTCACCGAGTTCGTTATTGCGCATGTGCTAGCTTGCTAAGCGCGCTCAGTGGCAGTGTTGCCTGTTGGGGCGGTATGCATGTGACCCTGCGGTGTTTTGGGTGCGGAGTTCTACTGACGTGACGACCTTGAATCGGACTGAATGGTCACCCTATTATGTTGTCTCTTCAAACTTTGCTTCCGTTTTTGATATTCTGTTACACGCTGCGGGCTATACGCTAACACGCAATTAGTTTTTGATGGAAAGCAAGTGAAATTACACGAATGAAAAAGGTTAAGAAACGAAAGAATGCACAACGAAAACTGTGAAAGGGCAAGGTACACGTCGCGACATGCATGCATTGCACATGCGTGATGACACATTTCCCTAGCCCGTAGTTCAGCAGTTATTTATTGTGGATGCTGTGCACGTTAAAAATTTCACATGACCTACAAGCCAAAAAACGCATTTCTTTGTTCATCAGACGGCAAAAGTTTCGTGCCACTCGTGCACGGACGGATGTTGACAGGTCAAATTGCTGGATCAGATCCACTTTTGCGTTCCCATCTGATCGTGATCCGCCAATTGCAAGATCTAATCCACCAATTGGGGGATCTGTATCCTGCTCCAGAAGAGGATCAAGAAAGGTGGATCTGATCATCATCCACCTTATAATGGTTAGCATCCCCACTACAAACAATTGCCGGATCTGATCCACCAATTGGGGGATCTGATCCGGCAATTTGGCAAAAGGTGGATCGGATCCCGCAATTGGTGGATCAATTGGGAACGGGCTGATAGTGAAAACATTTTATTGTATTTTCAACAAACAAGGGCGCAGTAAATAGTGGGAAAAGTTGGATCATGGCCGTTTTCCAATATTCAACTTCGTCTCCGTTGCAGGCTTCACCTGACTTTGAAGTTGTTAGCTGTAGTGCCACAAGAACATCAGATAAGATACAAAAGAGCAAAATATTTCAGCACTTCAATTTAATTTGAATGCTTCAGGCCTACAATCGAGGATTGCTTTTGGAGAAGAACCTGAGATGGCGACGAAGTTGAGTACATAAAACCGGCCCACGTTGAACTTTCCGCTCCTAGTTGTTGGTGTGGGTCAAAACATGCACGCTAACATGACGGGCGTATAGCGATATCTCTCTTTTCTTGACCTATTGCGTGCTATCAGCGATCGTTGCAATTAAATGCGAACCAGGCTTAAAACAAAAGTGCCAAAGAATTCATCGCTTCAAAGTGTCTCATTCAGGGAACAGAGGCTAATAAGATCTGTTTATCTTAGCAAAATTTGAAAGACTATTCCACAGGTCAGAAACCCTTATACATGTACATGCGTCAGACGTTTTAACCATTTTAAGTCATAAGGATCTTTCATGCATCTTTCCCTCATTGATTCCAGGTCATGAAATAGCTGGCGTTCTTTTCTCTATGGGAGAGAGCGCCACCAGCAACAACCAGAGCGGTTTAAAGCTGGGAGACCATGTAGTCGTCTTTCCGTGGGTCCATTGCGGTGCATGTCTTCCGTGCAGAGAGGGACATGGCGATTTCTGTGATGAAACCCAATTGCGGTTTGCAGCCATTGGAGTGTGTTTTAATGGCGGGTATGCTATACTTTCTTGATACATCTGAAGCAAACACAGTATCCGTGAGAGTGCATGATTATTCTCATTTTGGGATGAATCCTCCGAAATTTCCATGGAGAAACAGGAACTGGGGTACATTAGTTTTCACAGGCATATCGTAACTCTGCGTATTAAACAGAAACAAGCATTGCCTTCAGGACTTAGCTAGAATTCTAGAAGTGTAAAAATCACCCAACCCTTGCCTAGCAGGCTGTGCATCGATCCATCTTTTTGGTGCCAAATAGTGCATACGCGGATGGGGGGTCGGGGGTCAAACCCCCTCCCGCTCTGAGACTAAAAGAAGGGAAAAAGAAATAATTAACACCAAGAGTATTATAAAAAGTGTTGGTAATGTCTAATGTTTCATCGTCATGTCTGCTTGTCCACAAAAAATTAGACAATAAAAAAATCTCCGGCCTGACCCTCCTCCCGGACGATGTCTGGATCCGCCCCTGCAGAGAACCAGTGCCGGATCACTGTTAGCAATCCGGGTCCGCGTGAAACAAAAAGACCCTTAGTTCCCCAGTACAGAAGTGACTAGTGGACCCAAGCCAAGCCAAGCCAAGCAGAAGCTCATTGGAGAATATAGGGACTGGGGGGAAAAAGGACCGTGAAACATACCCATACAGGGAAATACTCGTCTGTGTAACGTGATTGGTTTGAACAACCTTGTTGGCTGAGGTAAATTAGTGAGTGAGGTTGGACTAATTGGTTTTCCAGTTAGATTTTTCTGCAGGTAAGGTCTCAGCATTCACAGTTTCTCACTATTTCTCCTCAGCCATGCGCAGTACGTCGCTGTGCCTGACGTGCGGTTCCTGGTCCCCGTGCCTACATCCACACCTCTCGAAGTGGCCTGTCTTCTTCCATGCAGTGGATTAACTGCGTTTCATGCCATAGAGGAAACCCTCGAGTTTGTTAAAAAAGTGACTCAGATTGCAGGTAGATAATTGCCAGCAGTAATGTGACCTTATTTGATTTGAAAGGGGCTATTTTATTCCAGAGTGGCCTCATTTTCGTTGGGTTGGCTGAGATATTTAGCAGTAATAAGTCCCTCCATCCCTCCTCAAAATTCTTAGCGGCGGAAGGGAAAATGACTTGGGAGGTGGCACTTCCTCGTCCCTTTTAGTCACATACGGTATGTTTTCCAAATTAATCGACAAATTCCGTCTGCTACGTCACGTGAACTGTGGTGGGTGGCAAAAATCAACAAACATGGCGTCCTCCCATGGCAAAATATTATTAAAATGTTATTTACTAAAAAGTATGAGTTCACTCATACTCCTGATGTGCTGAGCACTATACCAAAAAAACGGCTTTAGTTTTTGGTAAACAACACTTAAACACTTTTAGATGTAGGATGCCATGTTTGTCCGTGTTTGATACCCACTATGGGTCACGTGACTTAGCGGACGCAATCGGTTCATGAACCCCGACTGAGACCAAGAGAGGGCGTGATTTTCCTATAGCAACGGCGACTCCTGTGGGGGGAACCACACTTCGCTATGCCATTGACATTCACGCGTTCCAGTTGCCTCGCCCCGTTACCAACAAAATAACAATCCTCACCTAACAGCTCTTTTCAACTAATGAGGGAGTGCTTCTGCTCAAGGCGGATTAGAGAGGAAAGCTCTGATACAGGGGTGCATGCATATAAGGGTTCAGTCCACTTAATCAAGCCCCATTGAAAGCAGTGTAAAGTAGCATGCACGCCAACAT